GATGTCTCAATACTAGGACGGCTGTACCAAGAGTGCCTCTTTGGTCAAACCTTTCGGTTGTCCTAGGACCTCCCCCATCGCCAGTATGACCTTCGTTCTACGTTTTCTGGGTCTTTGTCAAGCTGCGTACCCTTAAAAGACTTGCGTCGTTGGACGCAGTCACCCCCACTCTGCTATGCGTTTTCGAATTTTCTTACAAACGGCTTTCAGGCCATCAGAGAAACTAATCACGCGACTAATTTCTCCTCGTTTTCTCTGTTGCAGATCCTTCAGCTGCAAATGAATGATTACAGATACCACTACATGTTCACCACGTTCGTAAGTATTCATCGGTCGAATAGAAATTAGAATCCCGAGCGAAGGAGGGACCACGGGTCTCTGTTAGCTTTAATACACTTCCTGCCAGCCTCGAACCCTTTGACGCGTTTCGGCCTTTGAAACGAGTCACGTGCACGTACGGACTCTTCGTTTTGGATTCATTCGACTTTCACAAATAATACCGCCGCGCACAATGTGTGTGCGCACGGCGAACCGTTGCTACCAAACCTGTCGCCGAAACCCAAATTACATGCGCACCGTCGTCGGTGTATGGACGTCGTCGTCGTCGCATTACGTTGCGTGCACACGTATCTGGCGAAGTTCGTGTGAATAAACGGGCGCGTTCGCCTGTTTGTTGATCCGATGTTTGTATAGGAAATTAAACTTCGAATGGATATCGCTCGTACCGATGGTATTTCTATATTTTTGTTTCTAGTGCTATGCAAAATGTGTTTTTTTCGATTCGACTCGGTTATGAAAAGCTGATGGGTGCAACATGTTCCCGTGTATTCCAGTCTTTTTTTTTTTATGTTCTCAATATCAATCTGGTGATTGAAACGCGAGGTTTATTCGTTATCCACGGGAATATGTAGCCACAACGCGTGTACACGCGAGTGCATACATATGTACGTATGTCCGATCAAAAATGTATCTCGAATTCGATAGTGATTTGATACGGTAACGTACGTAGAAAACCCATCAAGTGCAAATTTGAAGTTATATTTTGTTATTATATGTTTTTTGAACATCGGTAGCGAGCGTCGACGCAATGTGAATTGATGATTTGAAAACCAGATTTTCATTCAGGTAAACCGCAATATTTTTTTATTCTGTAAACAATGAAGGGATTTTATCGAATATAAAAATTTGCTTGTTTCAGCGATTTTTTAAATCAACTGTAATTCATGTATCGATGGCTGTTTTTGTGAATAAGCTTGATAAGTCAACAATTGAAAAACGAACGTAATTGTTCTTACAATAGGAGCTCTTTAATTAGAATATTTATTGAAACAGGAATAAAGGAACTATTTGTCAATCGACGCAGGTATCTAGAACAGAATTTCCCAGTGGAATGCACGTCGAGGGTAATCCGATTTAAGAGTCAAATCGTAGGCAGTTTGATCAATGGCCTGAAATAATCACGTTCACGCGTCACGGTTTAATAACCGATACGGGGGACTCATATTTATCCCGCACGCGGTTCTGTTTATTTCATAATCGATACGCCTATACAAAGTCGAGCGATTTATGACTGCCGAAATAAAGCGAACTTCATTTATTTATATTTTTTAAACAGCCAGACCTCGCGGAAAACAGAAGATAATACATGGCACTGGAATAACGTTGCCGTCGCTTGGATGATTTAATGCCAGCCGGCGGACAATGAAACCGGCTGATAATTATGACATTTATTAGGCCGGGCAAATATTGACCGAAATAATCCCCGCGTTCAAACGCAGACGCTCTGATGCCCCGCGGTAGTGTGACAAAGGGTTGTCTGTCAAATCCACGCGGCGATCGATCGTTAACGTTGCACGTGCGCCAGTGGACTAGATACACGCGTATCCCCGTCAATAATCGTCGATCATCCGGCGGCGCGTGCGTCACTCGTTGGCATTCCGAACGCGATGAAAGTCAAATGAGCTCCCACGTAATGCAGCGACGATTTCTCAAAATCGAAAAGTGTCTTGCGTTCCATTTCGAAATTCTTGCTCTCGGAACGCGGAGTCGTAAAGTCGCGAACAGGAATTGCTCGTCGATTTCGTAACGCGTTACATAAACATCACCGAGAATCATTTCGAAGTCCCAGAAATAAATCAGCGAGATTCGGGACACTCTTGCTGGCTGAGGTATGCGAGGGTGGACGGAGAAAGTTTCTTCGAGGCGGAAAACGGCTTTATCTGTCGGCCTCGCGACGCGACGCGGTCGTCGACCTCTTCCGGGTTCACATTATTTACTTTTAACGATCTCATCCGGCAGATACGTCACTACGTGATAATTATAAATCATATCTGACCGGTTGGACACGACCGAGAAAAGGCTGAGTCGGAAAACGTACAGCCAATCTCCTTGGAATCGAACGATTAATTGTCCCACTCGTGACTATGTTTTTTCAGGGTTTCTTCTTCTTTGCTTCCCGGAGATAGATAACAGAGTAGGTTTTCTTTGACAAAGAACGCACACTTCCAAGTAAAGTGGGTATTTCCGTCCTCGAATGGAATCGTTTTAGACGGGATTGCCGGGCTGGGAAGTACAATATACCGGTCATTGCGGTGTTTCATTGAAAGCGCGTTTTACGTGAATTTATTTGAAAGGCCGCGCAACGTTCCATTCCAGCGCAATAAAATGCGCTGGTCCGCGTATTGCTTCCTCGTCCCTCATCCAGACAATGTAATGCGAATTGCAACGTGCATTTCGTAAAAAACAAGAAAATGGAACAGTTGATGAAGACACAACGACAATCTTTGTCAAAAGTATTTTTTTTAATTCTAGAATTTATTCATTTAATTAAATACAGTTGATGGATTCAAAGGATCGAAGATCTGTCTAACTTTCGTGGGAGACAGAACTGACAATGGTGACTTTCGTCAGGAAGTCCAGTTCTTTAGATAAGGTCTGTGATATGATCTTTCAGGACATAGAAACGTTTGATCTGGAGGACTTCAAGTACAACAGCGTGAACATGACTGCGTTCCGTCTGGTGGACCTGGAGGAACCGAAAGTGGCCGAAGTTCTACGACAGATGGAGAGTTTTCAGCCGATTGGCCACGCGATCTTCAACAAAACCGGGGTTATCCAGGTTGGTGGAAAGTTCATGTAACTCCGAGGTATGCCCGGCCGCCGGAAGTCGTCTCTTGCCTCGATATCGGGCCACCCGAGATCCGTCTGCTGCCTGTTGAAACGGAAAACGGATCTCCGCGTGCTTTTCCGAGCGGGCGGGCGTGCGAGTTTAAGCGAGGAGCGGCCGCGTTCTTTTCGCTTGCTGTTGCTACAGAATCGTGCAACACCGTCCGCACGGTCGAATCTAGTTCAGCCTTGCGCCGGGGACCGGAAGTAATTTAAATAGCAAAGGGAAATTCCGATTTCTCGAGACAATAATGTCATTAATATAATACAATGGAGGTATTTAAAAATGACTCAGGTATTTCTTTGTAATCTAAAAATTTATACGTTTTTATATACTCATTTTTCGACAATCATGCCGTTTTATATGAAAGAACAAATCGGATTTTCGTTCACGTAATTTTAACAAACGTGGACATCACGTAACTGGTTGATGCATTTTGTAATAATGACCCGTGGCTTGTTACACGGTAATGAAGCACGCAGGTGAAGAATATTCCTCTTGAAAAAGTAGTATAATAACGTGAAACGCTTTTATTCTAGCATTAACACGATCTTATTCAATTAGCTCGTACGTACATGAAGCTTTATTCCGACCTGCATTTTTTAGGTAATTAGTCGATTGGCTCACTGTTATTAATCCAATTAGTTTATTAATTAATAATCCCATTTTTTCACGATGTTAATCCACGAGAGCAATTAAAATTATGAAACAGCTTGAAACGAAGTGGTATTTTATGAAACGTGTATTTAATAACAGAACCACTCAGAAACGTAATCCAGGAAACAATCACGTAATTAGAGGGCCAGTAATTAAGGGAAAAACGATTAATAAAAGTTTTCCTTTCATTACAAAGAAGAAATCTTTAATTTTTTATTCCTATTCACCAGCGCCGTTTTTGACGTTCATTGTTCGTTGAATCATAAAAGTTGCCGGAAATTCCAAAATTCTTGTTAATTCACGAGAACTTATCTAATTACGCATTCAACAAACGGTTATTTAATATCATACGCGTATTAGTAAAATTTTTCCTCTCGTTAAAACCTGAAGTTAATACAATACCTCATCTGTTATAATATAATGGTAAAAGAAATTCATTTGTAAAACGCTGGGAGCCATCTTTGTGAGTCAGGTCGTAAAGCAGGTCTTCAAGCGAGGATAAACGTATGTTTCAGGCAGAACCAGCTTTGGTCTACGACAGCGTGCAGGTGTTCGCGCACGGTTTGGCCGCGTTGGACCGCAGCCACGACCTGAGGCCCGTCAATTTGTCCTGCGAGAAGGAAGAGCCCTGGGACGACGGCCTGTCCCTCTACAATTACATTAACGCCGTACGTACGTTCTATAATTTTTCATTATCGAGCCCCCCAGGCTTATCAGCATGGGACCGCGGCGCAAACTCCAAGATTTAATGAAAACATTAACCCACCTTAGCGCCGCGCCGCTCTGTTCCGAAAGCTTTAAAGCTCGGGGATTTAAATTCTCTGTAGCCGGTTAAATACGCTGAGACCGTAAGCGAGTGCGTCATCACGTCTGGCTACGAGAATCTTTCCACGGAGGGACACAGAATTTCTGTCGCTGCCTGAATTTTGAAATTGCCTCACGACAGAACTGTTCGAGGATGACAACGGAGCCACTGGGTTCAATTATTTTCAAACACGTGTAACGAAGTTACCAAGCAGTTTCCTAAGCTATTACAGAACTTTGGTAGCAAACGTTACTAGGTCTCTTAATAAAAAAAGTTTAGGCGAAGTAAATGGTATCACTGAGTAATACTAATCCTGGGAGGAATCGATGGAAGTTTTTAAATGGGATTCGAAGGAAGCTCGTGACAAACTTCTGTTTCAAAAAAAAAAGAAACTAAAGTTCCAGCGGAGTACGCGGAATAATCACGGTGAGATGAGAAGTTCGAAGCATTCTATAATGGATAATGAAAGAAAAACAGCAAGCTAGGCTGCGTTATTGCGGTGGCAGGTCAATTCGGCCTCTGAGTAACACCGCGTTTAATCTTGTTTCAATTAACTAAATTTCAATTAAGAGAGTGAAAGGCCAATTCCGTCGGCGGGAGTTCATCGGCGGAAACCGTTTCTTGATTTTCCACCTGTAGGCTACAAATTAAAAGCGAGAACCGGGTATAATCAATGAACAGGCCGGGGCTCCGTATCAATTCGTTCCTGCTTTCATTCGGCCTGCTCGTTGGTCTCGTATCGGAACTCCCGTTCCCCTGATCAACTAATTTTAAACGGAATTTCGCCTGGTTAACTTTCAACGTTGGAACGTATTCAGAGTCTTATAACTCGACTGCCACTGCTTTCTGCTAATTTGGATAGTCACCCAGTCCTTAAGGCCTGAATTATATTTCTCTCACTGCTCACTGCTCATGCTTCAAACTAATTTATTTACTTAAATACCAATGTAGCGACTTCGTTGCTATCAGGTTTAGGTGATGGAAATGTTTAGGAGTCAATGTTATCGTAGGGTCGGTTTAGTATTTATTACATCCGGCGATGAGGCGTAGGTTCTTGAAGGAAAGTCGAGACGTTCTTTGTGATTGTAAAGAACGTTATCTTCTCTCCTTATTGGGGAGAGAGACTGCGTAACGGAAAAGCCAGCGCTTCGCAGTCAGTCGGGTTTGAAATTTCGCCTGAGTTAGATGTACGATCTTTGTGCTTTATAAATCGTAATAAAAAGTTAAACAATTCTGTAAAAGGTGGTTGAGAATAATTTACTTCCCCGTTTTAATCTCCCACACCAACAATTTGAAAAATAGCAAAATTTGAGTAATGCCTGCAGAAAAAGAACATGATTCAATTCATTTAAGAAACACTAAAAGTTCTCAGACTACGCTGGCATTAATTTAACCGAGTTACTAATCACTCGGGGATGATTTACAACCCGGCGGAGTCGCCAAGACAGAAGCGAACTCGGTTGGCATTCTCTTCGTTAACATTTCCATTTCCCTTAATTGCCAGGCGTTTCCATAAACAAGAAACGAGCGCCCGGGCCACGCAGTGCGTCCGCCGCGGCGGAAGAGAACGGCGAGGGAGTTGTGAAACTCCGAGGCGCTTCCACCAGGAGTAGAACGACTCCCCCGACCCCGGACGCCCGTGGAATTCGTTGCAAAAAGCACGAGGCGTCATCGGTGAATAAATATTGTATCTCCCTCCCCGTACCCCGTCATTCGCACTCGAGTCGCGAAGAAACCTAGTATCCGTCTCTTGTTTACGGACTTTGGAGCGGAACGCGATGTTTACCGGTTTTCCTACGAGAGGTAAAACGCAAAACTTTCCAAAGTTGCATGATCGATACGAGAGAGACAGATAAACAAGGACAGGCGAACAAGAAGAGACGGAATTTTTGATAAGTAAAACTATGAACGGTGTTCGAGAGATGAGAAGCTTATAGGCGTCAGTTCCGTTTCGTATCGAAAAGAATGTCGGACGGAAATCGAGTCCGAAGAATGGAATGGCACGTAGCAGGAAATACGTTCGAACGGACGGCAAACAACCGATTTAATGAAAACACATACTATCTATGTATTTCTGTTTGTTTACGGGGAGAAGTGACAATGAAAAACACACGGAGCCGAAATATATGCAAATAAAAGTCCGGCAGCAGATTAAATCACGTCAAGCGTGATATTGCAGCATTTGTTAAAAGAAAGGGTGAAATAGTTTGATGAACCGATGTTATATATTGGCAGTTAATCCGTTTAAGTAAATAATTACATAACTGAAAGAAATATTTTATTTCAGTGTTTATGTAATACTTAATTCGATCTCATGCAATATGCATTATTGTACACTTATGGAATTATGTCATCTGTTATAAAATTGTAGAATAACATGAAATATAAAATGTAATCATTCATTGTAAAATATAATCATGTACAAACAGTTTTACAACGATTGTATCTGAATTTTCACTTTATATCATATATATTTGCATAATTACCCAAATCTGATGATGAAAAGGTATCCGTACACAAGGGTGAAAATATTTTAGGAGGAAGTAGCCAGATTGCTGAACGTCCAACGATAAGCCGCGAGCAACGGTGAGTCCAGCGTTGACACATGAATAATTGAACAGCGTATTTAGCAAATAGCCACGAAGAATGGACCGTTCCCGTTCGCTGCACGTCTTCTGTCCGTCCACCCCCGATCCCATCTCCTATTCTATTCATGCATTCTTCCTCTCCACGGTCATATATCGAATTTCTTCTTTCTTTCTGGTTCCGAGAATTCCCGTATATTTGCTCGCTGATTCGATTACGCGGATATTTTATGAGATATCGATTTATATGAAATATGTTACGGAATGTAATGTACGAGCCTGACAATAGTAACGTTACCCTATTTTCTTTCGATAACAATTTCGTAGATTCTCTTTAATGTAATTTGTACATCCCGTATAAAAATTGTATGTTTTCTAAATTCTTCACGAGAATACTAATTTTAGTTTCTACTCCGATCGATACATAAATCGTTCAAAGCTTCTCGCGTATTCCCAAGGATTCTGACCTATATCCACGAATCCGACGTTCATAAAAATTTCTAAAACCCGATCCGGTTTGTCGAACGCGTCTTTCCACGCTCGATTTCGCGCGTTCCGTTCGAACAATTCCGTGCCCGATTTTCCGTCGTTGTCTCCGTAGTTCCGCACGACCGGCACGGCCCAACTCGCCGCGGCGACGCGAGTCAACACGTGTCGAGGCTCGTAAGCACCCCAGCTCACGTCCGCGAGGACAGCCTCCGCGTCCGGGTTTATTAAGTGAATATCGCGTCGCGTCCAAGTTTCCCGGCGAGTTCACCGACGGTCGAGAACTTCCGGTTGCACGCTGTAATTCGGCTCCTCGAATTAATACGCGGAACAGTCGTCCTCGTTTGGACTCGCTCCGTACGTCTCTAATCAGCGAAAATACGCATCCGGGATAGGTTTTAATGGGTACAGGTCAGGCTGAATGTTCAGCTGCCTTGTCCACTGTACGCCCGTTATTGTTTTCCGGGGAGTTAAGTTAAACGAGATTGTTGAAGACGGAATAATTTACTCCCGGCGCGAGAACAACAATAGGCTGGACAATACGGTTGTTTCAATGGAGCCACGGTAATAATGGAGAATTAAACCGGTCCGTTTGAATAGTTTCACTGAATCGCAAGGAATCCACTAATGAACCCAGCGAGAACGGATAGCGTTGACATCTCGCGATAATTTAAGAGACAATTTAAATGGCAATTAACGGGTAAACCGAGCCCTTTTGTCCTGACCGCGGAATTTTTCGTTCCGGTTAATATTAAAACCACGGTTTTTAGAATAGAGAAGCGTGACAATGACGGAGAGCGTCGAGCGCGCGATGATTCATCCGCGGAATCACGGGTCAGCGTTCGTTCCGCGCTGTATCGATTAATGAACTGTGCCGCAGATATTCCGCGTAAATTAAACAGTTGCCGAAGATAAATGAACAGGGAATTTAACATGCGGCCGTGCAGGCTCGCGCGGGTTTCCATTTATCCACTCGTAGGGGACGCAGTCGGTTATTCCCATAACTGCGTGACAAATAACTATGTCAATGCCGTATAATCGTTCAAAATTATTTACCTATGCTTACGCCGACCGATAAAATATTGGGGGACCAGTTCAATAAATTCTACGACGCCCGATTAAAATTCGTCCTTTGCCGATTATTTTTTGAACGATGCTCCCAGGGTACGCCTGATGTATGTTCAAACATTTTTAATAGATGCTCCTGTTCGGGGAAATTAGTATTTCCAGTTTATTTTCATATTTTTCACATTTGAAATCAACGAAAGTTACGATCGGAGATTTCCTTACACGGACTGACGTTTCGATTTTTTTAAAGGAAAGGCAGGTTGATTGACTCGTTTAATTATCCTGTGAGAAACTGGATTGATAGGTCCTGTTGAAAGGACGTCGAAAATAGCCCGGGAGCTTTCGGGAAAGGAAAACGTGGAATAAGTCTATTACAATTCGTGATTAACAACGATAATTTTACAAAAGATTTACAAAGAAAACGTAATTTTATTGTCCATATAGACCGGGCGCTCGTAACACAAAAAATGGAACAATTTTTTACAGTCTGCCATTGATAGAGGAAATATTTATAGCCACAAGCTGTAGATAGATGTACTTAAAAATCTTCGTTACGTGTTAATGCATAC